AATTTTATTTTAATTGTCTATTAATTTTTTAAATTATATCCATTTCATTTATCTAACACAATTTTATTAGATAGGTTAACAAAAATTCGGGTCATCACTTCTGTAGTGCAAGGCAAGATGCCATGCAAACAACACAATCTTTGCCTCTTTGTTTCCCTAACATTGTTGACTACAAATAATTAAATTATAGGAAAATTTAATTAAAACAAAACTCAATCAAAATAACAAAAACAAAATTATTTTGGTCATGTGTTGTTTACATAGGTGATGATGTGGATTTTTGTCAATCTTACTAATGAAATTATATAAGGTAGATGAAATTAATATAATTTAAAAAATCAATAAATATTTTTTAATAAAAAATAAAAATGTTAAATTAAAATAAAAAATATCAACATTTAGAAGATTATTTGTTGAATTAAGCCAATAAGAAGGCCCATAAGGCCCTAACACACTTCCATTCTCCAGTCAGTTCAATCTCAATTTCAAAGGCCCAACAAAGACTTACAAAAAAAAGGTTTTCGATCACACGTTTCTTCTTCACTCGCCTTCATCCATTCTCGGTCCCTCCGTTCTTCAGTCTCTGTTTGAATCGAAGTCTGAATCGTGACTTTGTCCTTCTATCTCTTCGTTCTTCTTCTGCACATCAGCGTATTTTCGTCGGGGCCGCCATTTCTGATGAAGTTTCTGTTTGAATCGAAGTCTGAATCGTGACTTTGTCCTTCTTTCACTTCGTTCTTCTTCTGCACATCAGCGTATTTTCGTTGGGGCTGCCATTTCTGATGAAGTTTCTGAAATTGCCGTGGGTAGGTCTTAAATGGATGCTGAAGTAATTAATTGTGAAATCTTATGAGGTCTGGGTTCAATTGAATTTTGAAGGTATTGCTCTGTCCTTCAACCTTTCTCCATCATGTATCTTTTTAATTTTCTGAATTTGGAAATTGTTTTTCTAGATTGGTTGTGGTGAGTGGTGTAATCTTTATTGAATAATGCAGTCAAACATAAACATACACAAGTTCAACAATTTAAGTGAAACACAGCCCTAACGCATTTCTTCACCTAACATGTAACTAGGAATATCTAGAAGAAAGCCTCACAAGATCAACAGAGATCGCCACATGAATCCGAAGAACCAACAATATTGACCACACTCCTTTATTAACTAATCATGGGGCTTTGGTAGGTTTAAATTAAACTGATCAATAGGGATTGACTGGAACCTGGAGGATAAGAAACTTCAACGGTTCCTTCTAGCATCTGTGAGACTCTCTTCATTGTGGGTCTCAGCGATCGGTCATCTTGAATGCACCAAATGGAAATCATTACAAACTTCTCTAGCCTATTAATGTCCTCCATTGGCTCTTCATCCTCCTGAACTAGACGATACAGTTTCCCTTCTTCATAGCAATCAGATACCCAATCAGCTAATAACTTTTTGTTTTTCATCCTCTAAATCTTGCTCAACTTTCCTCCTACAACAAATGAGCTCTAGCAGCAAAATTCCAAAGCTGTAGACGACAACCTTGACTGTGACAGGCTTGTTTCCAATCAACCATTCAGGCGCAACATATCCACTTCTTCCCCTTAACTTCTGTAAAAGTTTGCGCCTAGTCTATCTTCAGAAGTTTTGCTAATCCAAAGTCTGAAATTCTTGCTGTCAAAGAATCATCTAGTAGGATATTTTGAGGCTTGATGTCACAATATCTGATCCGATCCGGTTGCTGCACTCTTCATGCAAGTAAGCAAGCCCTCTTGCAGTTCCAAAAGCAATTTCAATTCTTCTGTACCAACTGGGCCTTGGATTCCTTCTGTTATAAATACTTTATGGCTTGACATTAATGGTTGGTTTTTTTAAGTACATAATCCTATAGTTAGAATATTACATGAAATTGTAAATTTATTATTGTGACGTAAAATTAAATGCATATGATATGCTATTAAATAAATAAATACATATAATATTATGAGTTAATTTTTAAATGAAAAAAATTTAATTATAAAATGACACATTATATTATAAACTTATAATACTAGGTAAAATTGTAATTATAATATATATTTTTAAGTTGCATGAATATATAGGTAGAGATTGATATTGTATTTATTATTTTTTGTTTTAATTATATAAAAAATATAAAAATTAATTTTAATTTTAGTATCATTTCTACTTATATGAATTTAATTCAATAATTGTTAAAATTAATATTAATTTTTATTTTTTTAATTAATAAAAAAAGTATACTATTAACATGTGTCTTTAGAGTAAAGTTAGTTCTCTAAAGTTTGCTATCTATAAGAGGAATCTTTCCAAGTTTTCATAGGCTTTGAAACTGGAATATGCTATCTTTATAAATCTCATTCAAATTTTTTGAAATAGATCAAAAATTAAAAATTAGGATGACTTTGGGATATCTTACAGAGATGAAGACTCTCATCTCAATTCTAGTACAAAATTTACTTGGAAGAAATGATGGCTATTCATTTATTAATACATTTGCATGGCGATATCTTGCAAAACATCTTTATATTCATGAGCACACAGTTGCTAGATATCGCCCTACGAAATTTATTCAATAATACTGACTAATAAATCTTTTTTTTTTCAATAGATTATGAGGCAGTTGGAGATGAGTATTGAACTGATCAATTGGGAGATTTTGGAGGAAGAGCAACTTCGATAGCTCCTTCTAGCATCTGTGAGACTCTCTTCATGGTGGGTCTTAGCAATGGATCATCTTGAATACACCAAATGGCAATCATCACAAACTTCTCTACCTTCTCTATATCCTGAATTGCCTCTTCATCCTCTTGCACTAGCATATACATTCTCCCTTCTTCATAGCAATCGTATGCCCAATCAGCCAATATCATTTGATTTTCATCCTTTGCATCTTGGTCAAAACTCTTCCTACAACAAATGAGCTCTAGCAGCAGAATTCCAAAGCTATAAACGTCAACTTTGACTGTGACTGGCTTGCTTTTGAACCATTCTGGAGCAACATATCCTTTTGTACCCCTAATTGCAGTAAGAGTTCGTGTCTGGTCTGTCTTCAAAAGTTTTGCCAATCCAAAGTCTGAAATTCTTGCTGTCAAGGAGTCATCTAGAAGGATATTTTGTGGCTTGATGTCGCAGTGTATGATCTGGTTGGTGCTCTCTTCGTGCAAATAAGCAAGCCCTCTTGCAGTTCCAAAAGCAATTTCAGTTCTTCTATACCAACTGGGCCTTGAATTCCCAAAAAGATAAGATGCTAAAGATCCATTGCTCATGTATTCATACACCAAAAGCCGATGTTGTCCCTCATTGCAAAATCCCAGCAGCTGCACAAGATTCTTGTGGTTTGTCTTGCCAATTGCGCTTATTTCCGCCTGAAATTCTTGCTCGCTGTCTGTCACCATCTTGTCCAATCTTTTAACGGCAATCAAATTGTTGTTACCAATAGCAAGAATTCCTTTGTAAACTGTTGAACAAGCGCCCTTCCCAAGTTCTTCTTTGAAATTATTTGTAGCTCCTTCAAGTTCATTGTAAGTGAGGCTTCGTAAACCTACGCCTTGGATTTCACCGGACGGCTGAGTGATCCTTCTTTTCCTAAAAACAACCCAAAAAGTAGCAATCGATAGAATAAGGTTTAAAAATGCTGAGCTACTAAAGAGTATAGTTAGAATAAGATTCAGTGTTGACTTCTGCTTCTTTAAACTGTTGGCAATGGATGTTGTTGAATTGTCTTTTCTTATTTTGATCAGTGCTTTCGTTCCAACATCAACATTATTTTGCACTCCATTTGAGAGAGGAATTTTCTTCATCCAACATTCACTAGCAGTATTATAGATTGCAACAGCACAAAAGCAATCTGCCAAGCATCTCTGTCTGCACCAATCCTCACTAACGGGTTTAAAATATTCATAATCCCCTCCCCACCAATTTACGCTGGACAGCTCCCTTAAATCAAAAAGATCTACAACTTGGCCTCCATCACACTCTTGTGGGACAAAAGCCTGTTTGCATCCCATCATTTCATTATCTGGTTCCAAGGGTGAGTATCCAGGTGGGCATGTGCATATAGGTCTCTGATCATTTCCTAGATGGCAATAGCTGTTGAACCCACAAGCCCCACTACCTGTGTTTTGTGTTGTGATGTTCATGCAAATATTGTCTGGGACATGGGCCTGCGAGGACCAGGCCATAGGCCTTCCATCGGCGACACTATCGTTCTTTGGATAGACATATTGCCTGAAGACACCATCATATTCAAGGATTGCTCGCTGGTAGAAGTTGCTAGATGAAGCTCCAATTGATGTTATAGTACTGAGTATGCTTTCATCTTTAGCTTTTAGGTAGATAGAGCCAGACAGGTCAAAGAGAACCTGAACGCCACTTCCATTAGTGTTAGTTGACCAATAATCAGTGTTTAGTGCAAGCAATGGGAAATGCACAGTAGAAAGTACAAGATTTCCATTTGATTGTAACTGCATCAAAAACCTCCCGCTCGAGTAGTTCATTTCTGAATAACGAGCAACAAGGCTGCTGCCTATGTTTAATGTTTGTGTGGGTAGTATTGTATCAGTTGGATGATCAAAACTTTCCCACAAGTTGGTGGAGTCCTGGCTTGCCAGCACAAAGTTTCCAGTGTCAAGCATAGCTGCATAAGAAACAGTACCAGTGCCAGCCAAGTTAGCCATCCATACCTCTTGTCCTTTTGGGTCTATGAGCACGAACTGGCCCTCTGTTGTAAGTTGAACTTTTGATCCTTGTTGCACTAGATTTCCGCCATTGGCTGACCATACAATGGTTTGTTCAGGTATTTTATCGAACCATATGGCCAGTAAGAACCCTCCGGTTTCAATCTGTTGGAAGCCAAATGCAAATTCACCAGATGGAGATGTCCAGGAAGAGTTATCATTGGGTACTGCAGTTAATGATGAGCCCGAGGTTATATTCTTATTTGTTTGAGATAGGACAGAGACTGGCAACAGACATAGTAGGATGAGGTAGAGAGAATTAGGATAAGCAGAAGCCATGAATACAGGTTCTACTTTTTCTAAAGGTTTAACATGGGTTATAGAAGTTTTCGACCTTCATACAACAAAGAAAGACTTCCAATGAAGCGTAAGGATAAGGATCATATTCACCACATATTTTTCAGAAATTAAGGTCTTGCTGCAGGTAATTAGTCTCTTTCGTTTCTGCCTTTATAAAACTTTTATGATTTTTCATTGTTGACTTCAATTTCGTAATCAAATTGAATTTGTGCAACATCAAGGAATTAAGAGGACGAAACTTCCACTGGTCACATACTTGGACCAATTCAAATGTAAGTTTTTGTTGTTTAGTAGACTTAGACATCCCTGTAGCATTCTGTAACCTTCTACGTTACATTATAATAATATTAAAAATTTTAGGTTTCTCTAACACATAAATAATTAATATTTAAATTAAAATTTCAAAATTAATGATTCATTTTTAAAATTTAATATTTATATTTAATTAATTAAAAATTCGATTCCCGTCACTTGTAAAATTTCCCCATCCCTATAATCTCTTATGTTCCCAAAACAAAGAGAAGTTGCTTGGCATTTAATCTTCACCTAACACGGACTTTGACTTGTTCAACATTGCCATGCTGCCGGTCCTCCTAAAACACCCAAAGAAAATATTTATTGCATTGAAAGATTTCTGGGTTTACATTTGATGGTGTCTTTTTTTTCCTTTCCCTATAATCCCTTATGTTCCCAAAACAAAGAGAAGTTGGTTGGCATTTAATCTTCACCGAACACGGACTTTGACTTGTTCAACATTGCCATGCTGCCGGTCCTCCTAAAACACCCAAAGAAAATATTTATTCCATTGAAAGATTTCTGGGTTTACATTTGATGGTGACTTTTTTTTCCTTTTTCTTTTTTCTGGGTAGAGTATAGAAGAAGGGAAGCTAGGGATTTGGAAGCCAAATGTAAATTCACCAAATGGAGATGTCCAGGAAGAGTTATCATTAAACTGCAGTTAATGAGGAGCCCAAGGTTATATTCTTATATGTTTGAGCTAGGACAGAGACTGGTAGCAGACATAGTAGGATGGGGTAGAGAGAATTAGGATAAGCAGAAGCCATGAATACAGGTTCTACTTTGTCTGAAGGTTTAACATGGATTATAGAAGTCGAACACCTGTATAAGAAATAGACTTTCAATGAAGCGCAAGAATCACGTCGACCATATATGCTTAAAAAATTAAAGGTCTTGCTGCAGGTAACCAGTCCCTTTCTTTTCTACCTTTATAAAGCTTTCTATGATTTTTCTTCATAGACTTCCATTTCATTTGCGAAATAAAGATATGTACAACCCAGAAGATGGAACTTCAAATATTGTTCGTACACTTGGAGCATTAAAGTGTAAATATTTGTTGTTTAGTAGACTCTTATATCCCAGTTTCTTTCTGTAGTTCTCTATGTTACATCATGACAATGTTAAAAATTGTAGGTTTCTCTCTCGTATGGTTAGCATTGACACTTTACTTCTTTACTTTGCCTAACATGGACTTTGATTTGTTCCTCCTAAACCTAAAAACAAACACCCAAAGACAATATTTATGGCATTGGAAGATATCTTGGTTTTTACATTTGATGGTGACTTTTTCTCTTTTGGGGTATAGTATGGTAGGAGAAGAGATTGGAGGTTGGGATTTGAAAACCGAACCTGGGGAGGTACACCTCCCAGGGGAGGACTCAGGAGGCAAGTCACACTCCCATACACTAGCTAGAAATCATCCCATGAATCTGCAGAACAATATTGAATTCTTTTTATTAACAGATCGTGAGGCCTCTGTAGATTTACGTTGAACTGATAAATCAGGATTGACTGTTGAGTGGAGGAAGAGGAACTTCAAGAGTTCCTTCTAGCATCTGCGAGACTCTCTTCATAGTGGGTCTTAGTGATGGTTCTTCTTGAATGCACCAAATGGCAATCATCACAAACTTCGCTGCCCTCTCAATGTCTTCAATTGCTTCTTCATCGTCCTGAACTAGCAGGTACAGCGTCCGATGTTTATAGCAATCATATGCCCAGTCAGCCAATATCTTTTTGTCTTCGTCCTCTTCATCTTTCTCATAATGCTTCCTACAACAAATGAGCTCGAGCAGTAGAATTCCAAAGCTGTAAACATCAACCTTGACTGTGACAGGTATGTCTTTGAACCATTCTCTAGCAACATATCCTCTTGTTCCCCTAAGTTTTGTGAGAGTTCGTGTTTGATCTTTCTCCAAAAGTTTTGCTAATCCAAAGTCTGCAATTTTTGCTGTAAATGAGTCATCTAGAAGGATATTTTGAGGCTTGATGTCACAGTGGATGATCTGATTGCTGCACTCTTCATGCAAATAAACAAGCCCTCTTGCAGTTCCAAAAGCAATTTCAGTTCTCTGTTTCCAACTGGGCCTTGGATTGCTGAAAAGATAAGATGCTAAAGATCCATTTGTCATGTATTCATATACCAAAAGTCGATGTTCTTCTTCATTGCAGAATCCTAGCAGCCGCACAAGATTTATGTGGTTGGTCTTCCCAATTGCACTCATTTCTGCTTGAAATTCCTTCTCATTATGGTTTTCCTCCAACTTGTGCTTGTGCAGTCTTTTAACGGCGATCAAATTCTTATTTATAGTATCTAAAACACCTTTGTAAACTGTTGAACTAGCACCCATTCCAAGTACCTCTTCAAAATTTTTGGTAGCTTCCTCAAGCTCCTTGTAGGTGAAGCTTTGCAAACTCATCATGCCATGGGTTGCTCTGGAAGGTTGAAGCATCGTTCTTTTCCTGTATCTTGAGCCCAAAACAAACCATAGAGTAGTGATCAACAGAATGAGGTTAAAAAATGCTGAGCTACTTAAGAGCAGAGTTGGAATAAGATTCAGCGTCAACTTCTGCCTCTTTGAACAATCGCTTGAACCCCCACTTGAACCTGTAGAAGTTGATGTAGAATTGCCTTTCCTTATTTTGATGAGTGATTTTCCCCCAAAACTAGCATCAGTTACCCCATTGAATAGAGGATATGACGAGCTCACACAGTCACCATTGTGGAAAAATGCAACAGCACAATAGCAATCACTCAAACAAGTCTGTCTACACCAATCCTCAGTAACTGCGCTGAAATATTCATACAGTGACCCGAGCCAATGTGTATCCACCATATCCTGGAATTCAAAAAGATCTGCATTTTGGCCTCCATCACACTCATGCGAGACAAAACCCCGCTTGCATCCCTTCATTTCATCATCAGGATCCAAGTACAAGTATCCAGGTGGGCATAGGCATTTAGGTCTCTGATCATTTCCTATAATACAGTAGCTGTTGTACCCGCAAAACCCGCTACTTAGGTATTTTCCTACGCTCGTGCAAATATCTCCTGGTATGTGGGACAAAAAGGACCAGGCTACATCCCTTCTAGCGGTAACACTATTATTCTTTGGATAGACATAGCGCCTGAAGACCCCATCATATTCAAGGATTGCTCGCTGGTAGTAGTCCCTAGACGAATTTCCGCTTGATGTTATATAACTGAGTATGCTTCCATTTTTAGCTTCTAGGTAGATGTAGCCAGACTGGTTAAAGATAACTTGGACGCCAGTGCCTGTTGTATTAGATGCCCAGTAATTGTAATTCATTGCATCCAGTGGGAACCTTGTGGTGTAGGCTGCAAGATCTCCATTCAGTTCCATCACAAAGGTAAATCTTCCACCTGAATAATTGGTCTGTGCATAACGGGCTACAAGTTTGCTGCCTGGTTTCAATATTTGTGTGGGTACTAGTGTGTCAGTGGGTAGATTAAAACTCTCCCACAAGTTGTTGGAGTCCTGGCTGGCCAGCACAAAGTTCCCAGTGTCGAGCATAGCTGCATATGAAACAATACCGAAGCCTTCCAATGTAGCCACCCATACGTCCTTGCCTTCGGAGTCACTGAGCCTGAACTGGCCATCTTTTGTGAGTTGAATTTTGGATCCTTGTTGCACCAGATTGCCACCATTGGCTGACCAAATAATGGTTTTTTCAGGTATTTTGTCAAACCATATGGCTAGCAAGAACATTCCAGCTTCTATTTGTTGGAAGCCAAATGCGAAATCACCGGATGGAGACTTCCAGGAAGAGTTTTGATTCAGTGCTGCAGTTAATGAAGAGCCCAATGTTATGTTCTGAGATGTTTTAGCTAAAACATAAACTGGTAGCAGAAAAAGCAGAATGAGATAGTGAGAATATGGAGAAGTGAAAGCCATGGTTTTAAAACAGATTTAACTTTAAAATTTTTTGTAACAATTGAGGCTATTTGTGTATGTAAATATAGTTCCTTCTGGTCTTCGCGTGCCGAGTCAACTAAATGTAACTTCTGCATGTTTTTCTTCAAAAGCATAACCCCACTTGTGGGAAAAGAAGTAGACTATGGAGAAATTCGGGCGCATAACAAAAAAATTAAGTGGACTCGACCAAAGACTTTGAATTTGGAGTCCCCAAATGTTATATTATTCTTGATAATTGGCTTATTTATTCGTAAAGATAGGACACGGTCGGATGTGGCTCAGATGCGCTGCACGTGCGGAAGTCGTTTTCTTCGAATGAGAGAATTCAAGAGAGAACAGATAGATTAAGTGATGTATTTCAAAAAGGGTGTGAACTCTCAGATTTTCCTCACCA